CCTCGCGGGAACTACCAATCTGCTTTCTGTCTGTGGATTTACTTGTTCTGGATGTTTCATATGGATGGAATCACACTATATGTGACCTTTTGTGTCTGGTTTCTTTCACTTAACATAATGTTTATGAGGTTCACCCACACTGAAGTATGCATCAGCACTTCATTTCTTTTTTTGGCTGAATAATACTCTGTTATGTATATGTACCACAATTTGTGTATCCAGTCATCCATTGATGGACATTTCAGCTCTTTCTACTTTTCGGCTCTATGAATAGTGCTGCTGTGAATGTGCATGGACATTTATTTGTTTGAGGACCTGTTTTCAGTTCTTTTGGGTATGTACCTAGTAGTGGAATTGCTGGGTCATATGGGAATTCTATATTCTTCGTTTTTGAAGCATGTTTTTTGCTGGATATAGAATTTTTGTTTGACAGATTTTTTTTTTTTTTTTTTTTTTTTTTTTTTAACTTTCAGCTTTTTGAATAGAACATCTCATTACCTTCTGTCTTCCGTGGTCTCTCCTGAGAAACCAGCTGTTGATCTTGTGGATTCCTTGTACATGAATGAGTTGCTTCTTTCTTGATACTTTCAAGATTCTCTCTTCGTCTTTGGCCTGCGGCAGTTTGATTATATGTCTAGGTGTGGATCTCTTTGTGTTTGTCCTATTTGGAGTTCATTGCATTTCTTGGATGTGTAGGTTAGTATTTTTCATCAAATTTGGGAAGTTTCTGGTGTTATTTCTTCAGATATTCTCTATGCCCCCATCTCCCTTTCATCTCCTTTGGAAACTCCTTTATACATATGTTGTTATGCTGGTGGTGTGTCACATGTCTTTGACACTGTGTTCTTTTTTCTTTCTTTTCCTCAGACTAAATAATCTCATCTGACCTTTTTTCAAATGTGTTGATTCTTTCTTCTGCTTGCTCCTCTAGTGGATTTTTCATTTCAGTTATTGTGCTTTTCCACTCTAGAATTTTTTTTTTTATAATTTCTGACTCTCGATTTTCTCTTTGGTGAGACATTATCCTCATACCTTTGTTTAGTTCTTTAGATATGGTTTCCTTTATTTTTTTTAACATACTTAGAATAGCTGATCTAAAGTCTTTATCTAGTAGGGCTTCCTCAGGAACAGTTATGGTTAACTCTTTTTCTTCTTGTGTATGAGCCGTACTCTTGTTTCTTTGTATGTATTATAAATTTTTGTTGAAAACTGAGCATTTAGAATAATATAATACAGCAGTTCTGGAAATCAGATTCCTTGCCCCCCCCGCCCCCACCTGCCATAGTTTGTTATTATAGTTTGTTTAGTGACTGTTATGAGCTAATTTTGTAAAGTCTGAATTCTTTGTCATGTGTGACCAGTCATGTGTGTGTCATGTTTGTGAGAAGTCCCTGCTCAGTTAGCTTATGGGTTAGCTAATGATTGGGCAGAGATTTCCCTAAGTGCCTGGAGCCAGTAAGTCTCAGTCTTTTTACAAGGGGCCTATGTGGATGTTGGGCCATGCTGTCAATGCTCAGGCAAGCAGTTGGCAACTCTGCCTTAGCCTTCACTTCCTGCTTGCCCAGAGCCTCCAGATCAGCCAAAGGTGAGCACTTGGGCCCTCTCAGGTCATTTGTGAGCATTTGTGAACATGCATAGAGCCATATGCCTGAGTGTGGCCTTCTAGATCCCCAGGGATATACCAGACCTTTTGTAAGCCCCCTGGACATATCATTCCCTAGCTTTTCCTTCTAAGCTTTTTGGTCAGCCTGCTTTTGCCTAAACTACTATCCTCCACTTCAGGCAGCTGTAATGTTAAACAATTGCCTCTGATTATTTTCAGCAAATGTCCCCACAGAAAATGCTGTTTGCACTGGCATGCTCTAAAACAAGTCAAATAAAGACAGTCTTGTGCATGGGATCTTTCAGAGAACCACCAGACGGGAAAAATAAAGACAGTTCTCTGGGAAAACCGAGGGGTTTTCGAGGAGCTCAAACCCATTCTGCCCCGTTCAGTGCCTGGCAGGCTACTGATTTTCACTGTGTTTGGGTTGTTGGTTTTCAAGGCTACTGCAGTGTTGGGGAGGGGAAGATGGGAGTAGGGCAAGGTAAACTATTACAAAGCTCGCTTGTTCTTACTGAGACTGAGCCATTTTTCTTGAATAAACACTTCCACAGATTGCTCAAGCCTTTGGCTAATTTTAAGAGTTCTGAAAAAGTTGATTCTGATAATTTTGCCAGTGGTCTTGCTGCTTTTATGGAGGAGAGGCTTTTCAGATGTTCTTACTCTACCATTTTTGCTGATCTTTCAATGTGTATTCAGTCTAGATTTATACCCCATGAATCTATCCCAAAACAAACAAACAAAAAAATCAGTTATGTCCACCAACATGTTTATCACAGTGTTGTTTATAATAGTGAAAAATTTGAAAGATCTTAAACAGGTGACATTGGGAGGAAAAGCCTATAAATTCTGGGTCATACTATTATGCAGCTATCAATAATGAAGAGGAGGCCTGGGAGAGTGTGACAAAGAAATTGAGAGCCCTGGCTCCTGACTCAGGTGGGCTGGGTTCGAATCTGCCTCTGAGGTTTATAGCCAGTGACTGGGAGCAAATTAATTAACCTCTCTAAGCGTCATTTCTCATCTCTGAAATGGTGACAATTCTGTAGTGGTGCTGTGTGGTTTAAATGCAAGCATCTGTGTCATATGCTTGGCTCAGCCAAGTGAGTTATTGTTATTGTTGTTACTGTCATTCAACAGGAAATTGTTCATGATATAATGGTAAATAAACTAGCAGGGTATGAAATCGTATGCATACTATAACCAAAATATGAAAAGAATAATCCGTTGGCAAAGCATGGAAAAAACATGGTTGGAAGAAAATATACCACATGGGACTGTGGGTTATTTATTTTCTCTTTTCTTTTTTATTTCTGACAGTATTATGCATGTGTCTTTTTTTTTTAATGGAAAAGATAAATGTGTACTCACAGTAAGAATCTCCCTTAAAGAGGCAGGGGTTTTCCTGGTGGATCTGGGCAGGACCACTCTGCACTGGACACTGGACTGTGGAGGTGCTCTTCCAGGTGCGTCTTCAGGGGCCTCTGGTTAGCAGTATTTCCCAAGTCTCTTCAGGAGTCTGTGATGTGTTTATTGGTCTTCTTCAAGGGGGTCTTTTATCAAGAGGCCAGGGAGCAGGGGTCACTGCTGCTCCTCAGGGCGGGCTCTGAAGGTTTAGTGTAAATCCTGGGAGAGCCCTTTTTAATTCCGATGTCCAGTGTAAGGCTCTTCACTTTGGGACCTCCGTCTCTTCATCTGTCAGGTGGGAATGCAGTGGTGCTGTCTTCCTAGGTGCAGCTGAAAGGCTGAAAGGATGTGCCTCGTGCTTGGTGGTTTGTCAGGGGTTCCACAGACGTGCTTTGTGTCCATGCCGATGATCTCTGTGACTGTGATGGGACTTAATTTTCTGTTTCAGGTTCCGAGGTGCACCGATTATACCTGTGGCAGCGAAGCCTGGGGGACCGGAGGCCCCTGAAACTGAAGCTCCACAGGGCATCTCAGAGCTTGTTGAGGTACTGTCGGCTTGAATCCAGGTCTCCCTTTGGCCTGGCCCTGCTCAGGCAGCCCCTTTGTGTCTCCCTCTGCCCTGAGTGAGAGAGGGAGAGGCTGCCCCAGCAAGAAGCCTGAGCTGGCTCCATCAACCTCCCTGCTCACACCTTAGCCTAACTCCCCCATCTCCCGCAAAAAGATGAACCAGATCAAGAACCCTAAGGCCGCCATGGCCCAAGGCGTTTGACTCACCCTCTAGCCCGGGGCTCTACAGGGCTCCTCACACCCTGGTAGGTCTTGCTCTTCCTTCCTCTTGTCGCACACCGCCACTCAGACAAAGCAGCTCCCGCCGTTCCAGTTCTTCAGACTGTACCAGCCCCTTCAGTGTGCCCCACCAGCAAGGCAGGGGTGAGGGAAATGAGCCCAAAAGTAGGGGCAATACAGCTCTGTCCCCATGTCCTCCACAAAAGAGGTGGAGGCTTCACCTTCTGAAGCCGTAGGCCAAGGCTCAGGCTGTTTCTCCAGACTCGGTGGTAGCAGACAAGGGGAGGAAGCTCACTTGTCCAGCGGAGCACCCAGACGTACAGCTCTGTCCCCATGTCCTCCACAAAAGAGGTGGAGGCTTCACCTTCTGAAGCCGTAGGCCAAGGCTCAGGCTGTTCCTCCAGACTCGGTGGTAGCAGACAAGGGGAGGAAGCTCACTTGTCCAGCGGAGCACCCAGACAGTCAGTAGGAAGGGTGCGTGTGTGTGGTGGTGGCACTGAGGAAGATAGCAGTGAGAACAGGGACCGCCGCTGAGTTCCTCTGCCGAGTGCTCAGGGCAGCCAGAGGGTTCGAGCGGCAGCATGCGTGGGCTCAGGGCTAGACCGCAGTTCCAGCACCAGCCCTCCCACCTGCCCTCTGTGACCCTAGGCAGTAGAGCTGCTCTCTTTGCCTCAGTTCCCTTGTGTGAGAAGTAGGGAGGACAGTACCAGCACATCCCTCATGGAGTTGTTTTGAGGCTAAATGAGTTAACATTCATAATGTGCTCAGAAGGGTACCCTGTGTTCACTGTGACAGGGGTGCAGATTTTTACATACCAGGCTCTGTACTAAGTTCCTTACATGTACTATCATTAACATTTACAACAACCCTGGGAGCCTTAGATTATTCATCCCCCTATTATCAAGGAAGAGTCTCAGACTCAGAGAGGTTACATAGCTTGCCCGGCTTTCACAGCAGGTATGTGGTGCAGCTGGGATTCAGACCCAGGAGGTTGTTGAGGTTGGCTTTGTGTCCACCCGCACCTGCACCTGCAGAGCCAAGATCAGTATGACCATGTGTACTGCCACTTGTCTGTCACTCACACTGTGCTGATCTTGCCAGTTTAGCAAAACAAATGTTTTCTGGGTGAGACTTTTTTGTTACTTTTTTATCAGCTCCAGAGAGAGCTGGTCTGGGAGTCTGGGACAGTTGTTTTCGTTAAAGCAAAATCCACAAAAATGCTGTTAAGATGTTAGTATATTCCTTTAAGAAGCCTCTACACAAATCTCAGACCAAGACTGTTTTGAATCTTTAGTCTTTTTCCAAAAGAATTGTTATCACAAGACTAAGACTATGCAACATTCACTACTGAATTCTTTTTTGACAGCCTATTCACTTACGAAATCAGAAAGTAGCAAAATAAAAAGAATAATGCAGTCTTTATCTCCATTTGTTTATTGGTAATTAGCTCTGACAGCATCTCCAAGCACATTGACGGCATAAGGAAGTTTGGCTGGTTGAGGTTGAAGCGTACGGAAAGGATCAGTGAAGAAGGAAAACCCGAACCTCAGGCTGTGAGGGCAGGGCTCTGTCTCTGCTGGAGCGTGGAGAAGTCACTCCTCGCACCTCTTGTCCTGGGACCCGCAGTCCCCAGCTTGCCCATACCAGACACAGGCTGCTGCCCCTGGGAACAGCCCTTCCCTCCCGCTCCCCTCCCTACACCCCCTTTGGTTTTCCTTCATTTGCTGTCATTCCCTCAGGTGCGGTGCCAGCTGCTGGCGATACTTGGGGGGAGGTGGATAAATAGATGATCACAGTAGTGTGTTAACTGTGGTGCTATTGGGGGGTGGGGGGCAAATGCTTCCATACAGGAAAAACCCTTCCAGAGGAGGTGTGGCCAGGGGAGAAGGTGCCAGTGAACCAGCTGGTGAATTCAGGCCTGTCAGCGGCTGGCCCTGGTGTGAGAGGGAGGCTGGAGGGAGATGGCCTAGTGCTACTTAGGGGCTAGACGATGAGGAGTGGGACGTCCTTCAGGCGTTAGGAGGCTATGGAAGCATGCAAGGCCAGGGTGATGTGCAGGGTGTCCCTGACAGGCTGCCTCTGCCGCAGTGTGGAGGAGGCCTGCTAGGCAAGGATTGAGAGGCTCCTCCAGGTGCCCTGTTGCTTCGCACTGAGCAGAAGGAGCTGAGAGTGTGGCAGAGGCTTGGACTATGTCAGGGAGTCAGCCATCTCTGACCTGCTGGTCCAGCTTGCCAGGGCACAGGTCTTCCAGCTGGGTCTCACTTGGCAGCCTTGGTGAACTGCTGGCCAGCCACCCCCTCTGCTCTCCTCTGCCCTGCCCCATCTGGCCCTGCTTCCCAATGGGCTGTGGCACCGGCATCTCTTTTCTAGCTCCTGAAGTCCCAGATTTCCATTCCAACGAGAGACCCCTCGGGACCGTTTCTCATGTCTGTGGACCACTGTTTCTCCGTCAGAGGCCAAGGCACTGTGATGACAGGGACCATCCTCTCGGGCTCCATCAGCCTAGGCGACAGTGTGGAGATTCCTGCCCTCAAGGTCAGTCTTACCTTGTCCTTCCTTTTAGCCTCTCTCTAACAGCTAGGGGGCTGGGGATGGTTCCTCTGCCTTTTCAGCTGCTGTGCCTTTGGAGCTTGCCCTGAGTTCCTTCTGCTGCCCGAGGTTGGTCGCTGGCCTTGCTGCCGCCCCACTTCCACTTCTCACCTGCCACCCACCCAGCTCCACATCTCGCTCACTGTGGATTCTAGAGCTACTGCTCGCCCTGATTCTCCTAACACCACATTTTTATTGGATGCCTATGATGTGCCATGATGAAGAATTCCTGAGTAGATGTTTTTTATAGAGAAAGAAACAGAGGCTCCAGAAGGTGAGGTGGGCTTAGGACCATACCGTCAACAGGTGGAGGTGCTGGGTGTAACTTCCCTTTCAGCAGGCCCTCTGTGTGTTAGGGTGTCAAGTGCCCCTGGAGTTATTTCTGGGTAGCTTTTTCTTAACCACAAGAATTTCAAATGAAACACACTTTGTATCTATGGTGCTCAGAGTCATACAATCTGGAAGAAATCCAGATCAGTGTCACATTCCAAGTGGCCACTGACAGATGCTGTGTTCTCCTTCTGAAGACTTGCGAGAAGGATAAACAGCTGGGTGTCTTCCCATCTCCCCCTCCTTCTAGTACCATAGCATGGCTTTGATTGAAAAGATGTCCAGTGGCCTTGATACTTCCCTTATTCAGAAGGCTTTTCAGGTAGTTTCACTTTCCTGGAAAAGAAAAACTTCCAGCCCCACCTACCATCCCTCCCCTTCACAGAAGTAAAGGTGGGAAACGAGGGCTCGTTGGAACTAGTGTGAGACTTTGCCCAGAATGCTGGGCCCAGGATGCTGCTCTGATCCTCAAAGGAACCCAGAGTGTCGGGAGGCAGAGGAACACAGTCAGCCCTGTAGACTGAGCCAGCTGCTGGAGATGCGGAATTTGCCTACAGCCCAAGGTGAATGAATTCAGTTTGCATGCTCATGGGGAGTGGCTACCTGAAGTGCCATGTTGAGGCAGATTTTAAGGTTGTTTGGCTCACTAGATACATATGTCTAGATATCTGTAGATACGTATATATAAACATCTAGATATCTATATCTCCTACTGGTTCTGTTTCTCTGGAGAACCCTGGCTAACACACCTACTATTAGATATATATATCTATAGAGAGAGATATAGAGAAAGACGTATTTTAAGGAACTGGCTTACGTGATTGTGAAGCCTGGCAAGTCCATAATCTGCAGGGCGGCTGGCAGAGTGGAGACTCAGGGAAGAGTGGTGGCTCAAAGGCCATCTGCTAGAAGAATTCCCTCTTCTCAAGACCTTCAGCTGATTGGATGAAGTCCACCCACATTATGAGAGGTAATCTGCTCTGTTCAGAATCCACCAATTTCAATGTTAGTCTCATCCAAAAACACCTTCACAGAAATGCCCAGAATAATGTTCGAGCACAATTTGGGCATCGTGGCCCAGCCAAGTTGACATAAAATGAACCATGTCACCAGGTGAAAGGGCCATGATAGCAGCATCTGCTCTGGACGAGGGAAGCGGAGGGGATACTGCTGACACCTGTGCCTTGTATGCCATCCCTGGTCTAGGGCAACATGGTTGGATATAGGGAAGGGGTAGAGGACAGGAATGAGCAGAGCTCCCCCAGGTGAAAGGAATCTCAGGTTTCAGCCCCCACCCAGCTCAGTTTATGGTGGTGTGGCTGTTGCTTCCTTCTGCGGGGGCTGGGGGTATTAGGGAAGAGTCTCCTGACCAGGGAGGATCAACCAGAAGGAGAGGCCTGCCCTTCCCCAAGTGTTAGGACCTTCTCTGGACACTGGGGGTAATAATCGCCTCCTCTACCTACTGTGTGGATCTTCTTCTGGAGACCATTTGTCCCAGAAAAAGACCACTCAAGTCAAATCCACTTTAAGTCAGGGACTAAAGTGCAAATCTTAAAAAATAAAGCATAAAATTACAAAAATAAACTAAATTTATATTTAACAAAATTACAGTTATGATTGTGACCATGTGCTAATTCTTAGCTGCAACAGAAAATGAATTGATGCTAAATTTCTTTCCAGTCCCTGTGATCCCTAAGGCAGACCTCTGAGGCCACCCTGATCCAGCATCTCTGCCACCCTGGAAGAGGAGCTGGGAGTGGAAAAGAGGTGTCAGAAGGCAGCTTTGTGGGGGGTAGAATTTGAATTGGGGGTACCTGAGGCTCTAGAGGGGGAAAAAGGTTTTTGATAACGATGTTAGTGGCTGCAGTGGTAGGACCAGGAGCACAGAGGAGGGCTGAGGCAAGGATAGTCAGCCATGAGAAGCAGGCAGGGATGGTTGAATGGGGACATGTTCTGAGGTTTTTGGCCATGCTTTTCATCCATATGAAGGTGGGACTTGCCTATCAGGACCCAGTTACTGATCCTTATGGTACTTGGTCACACAGCAGGTTCTTGGATGTAACCTAATTCTTCTCATGTTTTTGTGCACTTCTTGTCCCAGCCTGCCTTCCAACTCTCTGATTTCTACTACTGTATGATTCTCTAATTTACTGGTAAGGAAAACTAGAACTTGTAAGCAGTGTACTTGGATATTTGGCTGGGGGGATTTTCACACAGAGTGTAGGAGATGCCACCTTGCTTCTCTTTTGCCACTTACAGTAAAATGTGGGGGAAGGAATGAATTGAGGAACTGTTAGCAGAAAGGAGCCAATGCTTGATGATTTGGAGGTTCTCAGCCTATCCAGATCACAAAAAACTCACTATTGAGAAAGCACACTTTGGTGAGAAGGCCAAGCATGAGGCTGGACAACCTTCTGTTGGAGAAATTAATTGTGTGGCTCATGTATCCAAACAAGCACGTCAGCAGAAGCCAGGAATAGAGATGAACTGATCTAGGAAGGATGTGTGGTAAACCTTCTTGTTTAATGGCAGGGACCCCCTTGATGAATATAAGAGACCCCCAAGGTTTTTGAGAATGTTATACTAGCAAAAACACTGGACTGAAGGGACAGAGACCTGACAAAATAAAAAAAAAAAAAAAAAAAAAAAAAAAAAAAACCTGTTAGACTTCTGGGATTCTATAGGCAGGAAACAGGCTAATAGAACTACTCAGCTCCAAACACATGGTATGCTTAAAAAAAAAGAAAAGAATGATGGAGGGCAGAACTTTGGACACAGAAGCAGAGGCAGAGGATCAAACCATAGAGGGTTAGTTTCAGTTCTTGAGACCTAGTAGAATTTTCCCTGATGGGTTTCAAACTTGCTTGGGACCAATGACCCCCATATGTCTTCCATTTTCTTCCTTTTGGAATGGGACATCTGTCCTTTACCTGTCTCACCATTGTATTTTGGGATTAGATAACTTGTTTTCTGGGTCCACAGATGGAGAGGCATTTTGCCACCCAGAGTCTCGCCCATACCTGATTAGATAACTTAGGTGATGAGATTAGGGACTTTTTGTGCTGAGGATATTTAGATGAGATTTTGGACTTATGGTTAATGATTGAATGGGGTAAGACTTTGGGGGATGTTGAGATGGGGGAATGTATTTTGTATGTGGGTCAGATATGCAGTTTTGAGGACCAATACAGTGGGCCTAATTGTGGCCCCCAAAAGATATGTCTACCCAGAACCTTAGAATGTGACCTTTTTGGAATAATGGGCTTTTCAGATGTCATTAAGGTAAGGATCTCAAGATGTGATCATCCTGGATTAGGGTGGGCTCTAAATCCAATGACAGCTGTCCTTGTAAGAGACAGAAAAGTTGAAGGCAGAGATTCACAGAGGGAAGTCCATATGAAGACAAGGCTGAGCCTGGAGGTGTGTAGCCACAAGCCAAGGAGCACCAGTGTTGCCGGCAGCCACCAGAAGCCAGGAGAGAGGAACAGAAGGGGTTCTCCCTCCGAGCCTCCAGAGGAACCAACCCTGTTGACGTGAGGATTTGGGCTTCTGGCCTTCAGAACTGTGAGAGAAGGAATTTCTGTTGTTTTAAGCTGTCGAGTTTGTGGTAATTTGTTATGGCAGCCCTAGGAAACTTATATGGACTTCGGATGGAAAGGATTGGAGTCAGAAAAAACCTTAAGTCCTTTATGATCTTGAGCAAGTCCCTTAACTTCTCTGAGCTTTGGCTTTCTCGTGAGGAATCACCATCCCCAGCTCACCCTCTGGGTGCTGTGACAGCGACATGAGTGGAGTGCCCATTAGCCATTTAAATGCTTAGAAGCAGAACTGTTGCTGATGACCAGGTGTGCTCCTTCCTTTTTTCCCTGTAATTACCATCCAATCAGCGAGAGAACCTAGGTTCAGGGACGTTGAGCAACCGGACAGCAGAGCCAGGATTTGAAGTCATTTGTCCAGCTCCAAAGACCAGGCTCTATCCACTGTACCCTGCTCCAGAGCCCCTGGAGGAGGAAACTCTCAGTCTGGTAGTGTTTCCTCTCCTCCTGGAGCAGGACCTGCGGGCTCCAGAGCAGTTTTGTAGGAGCACTGCTGAGACCTTTTCTGGTCTGCGGAGTATATGAAAGTCCATTTCAGAAGAGCCTGAGACTCAGAACTCCTGACCTCTTCTCACCCCTCCCCTGCATGTAATTGGTGGCTGTGCCTCATGGGCACTGGGACACTGCAGGCCATGGCCCTCTTCCCAAACACAGTGACATCCCTGTCAGTTTCACTAATGGATTCATTGCATCTGACCGCTCGATCTCCCTCAGAGGCAGGGCACAGCCGTTCCAAACAGTCTCGCTCCCCGCCCAGCCTGGGCTAGCCTGATGGAGCCTGCCCATACCCTGGACCCTGTTTCTGCTGCCCACATTCGTTCCCAGCTGGGGCCAATTACCTGAGCAAGGAAATGTTAGGGAATAGGGAGTGAAGGAGAAAAAATTCCATTTGGACCCCAGAATGGCTTAAATGCCACACATCCTGAGACTGGCCAGCTTTCTACCCTGGCTTTTTGTCTTTCTCCATCCTCAGCCTAGGAAATGCCTCTGATAAGATTTGGTCTTGGGATTTCAGGCTAGTACTGCTTCTGGGGGTGATTGGCTGTCAGCGTTGTAACATTGGAAACCATCAAAGCCACAGACCAGGGAGAAAGAACAGGGGCTGGGAGTTGAGAGGGACCCAAGTCTGGCATTTACCTGTGGCCACAGGCAAATTACTCAACCTCTCTGTGTTTCATAATTCAGCACAAACTTAGAATGACCCCTGTGTGCTCGGCTCTGTCAAGGCCTCTGGAAGGTGGGCAGAGTGCTGTGGTGTGGACTAGGGGTGACATATGCAAAGCTCCTGGCACC